CTGTGATAAACTTTTTTTTTTTTGGTGGGGGGCCACTCGCGCCCCCCCCCTCACACCCCTGACACCAAATGATGGAAACGACAACCTCATTTCTCTCACACCCCCCCCCCCCCCCCCCCCCCACCTCACCTGTTGTCATTTTTGTCTGTGCAGGACTAATTCAGATGTTTGTATGGGCTAAAAAAACATATTTTCCACTGTTCTCAAACTTGATTCAGCCAGATATGTTGCAACAGAGGGAGAACAGATACACCTCTTAAAAGAATAAGCAAATTAATGTGTTTCTCCACATCATTGGATTTAATTATAACAATAATATTGAGGATCAATGCTTGTTCGTAGATGATTTAAGTGAATGATGACTAACTTAAAAGTGAGGCCAGCTTTTTCTCAGAACACAGTTTTGGTCATTATTGTACTTAAACTCATGGTTAACATATTTTTTGGGACACGGAGACGTCTGACATTAAGGCGTCAGATAGCTCTCAGGCTTTTTTTGACATCTTTTAGATTAGTTTTCCTTTGGATCCAGACCTGTTCCGTCATTTTCAGTCCAGCCCATTATTTTTTCCCCCATTATTTTCTGGGGGTCGTTTACTTTCTTTTAACTCAACCATCTGATTTCTTTGTCACCGGAGTGTACAAGAGAAGACGTTTTGTTATTCTAGGTACAACGTGTTCCCAGCACTACCCGGACCACTGTCGGCCGCCTGCCGCCCCCCCCCCCCCCTCCCCTCCAACCCCACCATAAACACCAAATGGTCGCATTAACGCTGAGTTCATGAGCAGATAATACCAACTCCCATAATGGAGCTCCTCATCCAGATAAAGACATAAAGCTGTCCTCGTTAAAACGCCGTCTAACAGGTGCTTATTAACTGCAGAGCAGGAAATGCTGACTCGGGCCTCCGGCTTCATGGTGGTCCATCTGCATGGAGGGCCGGCCGGGCCGGTCATTGCGATGGGCTGCCCCAAACTCACATCCGCGTGTTTTGACCGCCCGTTATCTGACCACTCTGTCCGGTGGAGGACCTACAACTGCTCAGAGATTACCCAGCAAATGGAGGCAGGGGACGGGTCCTCTGTTACGCCCTGAGTAGCCTCATTGTTTTGTTGTTTTGATAAAGGATGATTACCAAGAACTTTTTTTACAGTGCAAATTAAATGTTTCTTTAAAGACTACCTTTTCTTAAATAGATAAATATTCTGTTAAAATGATAAACACACACGCACATATATAAAAAAAAAAGAAATAATAAAAATAAATGTATATATATATATGTGTATATATATATGTGTATATAGTGTACCATAATCCTTAAAAAAGTGTAGTATTGTGTTGTATTTTAGGTATTTTACTATCTAAAATTATTTTCTTCATTTCTAAATGTGTCCTCATTTGGTGTAAAATGACCTCGCCAATGATCTGACTTCTCATGAGCGAAGAATTTTTCCTGTCTGTATATACACAGGACGGGTAAGTCCACTGAGGTTTCCATGGCATTCCGCCATTTTGAAAAACTATAATAGCAGAGGGGGACATAAAGCACTAGTCTACCTGTCTAGCTAATCCACAAGGTGTTTTTTGTTCAGAACCAGACTTACATGACTGAAACCAGCTATAATAAGTGAGAGACGCTCGCGTTTTACCTTTATGCTAGTCACTGCCCTTCCTTTGAAATGACAAACCTCATCATCTGGAGAAAACTCCATGATGTGGAAGTCATGTTGTCATTACTTCTCGATGCATGACGGCTAGTAGTTGTGATACCCATTTGAAAACAATTTGCACGAATTGTTAGCATTGGGCTATAGTTACTCACTTTAGCATTGTATTCTATAACATAATCCATGTAAATTACTGATTGTCTTATTCCTTTTAGAACTATAATTTTGTGTTAAACTCTCTGGCTGTGCCCCCGCATTCTCTTTCTCTCTCTGTCTTTAAGGTCAACATCCACACACACACACTTTCTCATCACATTCCAATGACATCTGCATGAATAAGGAGCTAGCCTGTTCATGTCAGAGCTAACTGGACAGCTTCCAGTCCTCCTTTTGGGGCAGGCCCAGCCCAGGAGATAAAGGTCCATCACATTTTGGGGCTCTTGCCGACTGAGATCCTCCAGGAGCTTTGTCTGTGAGACTACTTTATTTGTGACCCAATAATATCATATTTGTACTCTTGATCTGCTCTGGTTTATTCTTAGGTTTCGAACTAAAGAATCGGGCTAACAGAATGCAAAGTACAATTTCACCGTCAGATCAGGATAAAGTTGTACACCGTGTACCTTTAAAGTGTTCCTTCTGAACGTCCAGTTGCCGTTTAGATTTACGTTCCAGCTCTAACTGAAGGCATTTACGGCTGCTCTGAGGAGCAGCGAGGTCAGCGGATGACCCTTGAAAAGTCTGTTGGAAGCTGAATTCCAGTACCAACCCAGTGAGCGGCCTTCTCGTGGATTGCTTCACGCTCGTTTAGTGGGATGCCGCATTTTCGGCCGACTCGTGTTTCCGAGTAGCCGTTTGATTTTTTTTTCAACAAGACTCGTCACTTTGTCGCCACCTCGCCGCTCCGGTCCATAAAAGTGTTGTTTAGAGCTTGGCGGGTTTGCGTTTCTCACGAGGGCTGGTGAGCCTCAGGCCTCCTGTGCTCTGATTGGACGGCCCTATCTCAGAACGCGGCGGCACGGCCGTGTGTCGCCGTGTAATTTTAGTCCGACAGTAAAAATGACGCAGCCGCTTGCCCCGCTGTGAACGAGGGAATTTACAAGCTGGGGTTGTCATTGTTCATTCCTGTTTTCTTTTTTCTTTTTTTTTTTAAGCTGCTTTTTATGGGGTCATATGTTCTCTGGGTACGCGGCCAAATGTTGACGACTGGTTTAAACATGTGCCCGCAAGGACACTGTGGTGGGGTTTTTTGGGGGTGGGGGCGATTTTGCATGATGGCCGTCGGCCAAAACAATCAGCTTCAACACAAAACCCGATCACCGTTTCTCTGGACGCTGCGTATGGTGGACGTTAAGGCAGCTGGCAGACGCAGATGACCTCCTTCGGACGGCTATAACTGCGTTCAACCTTCAGCGTGAATCCTCGTCCGCGTGCACGGACGCCACATGTGTCACTGTGCACGGTTACATGAGTCTAGAAAAAATAAGTGGGCCTGGAAAAAAAAAAGAAAAAAATAAAAGGACTGCAGCTGCGCCACACTCCTGAATTGTTCGTTTAGTTAGTCTGAGTTCTGCTCATGTGCTCCAAAGTTCCCTCTTTTTTAAAATCTTTTTGCAAAACCGGGTTTAGGTTTTCTTTATTTCTCCGGTCAAATGTGTTTAAACATGTCAGAAATTGCGTGTGTGTGTGAATCTGCTTAATTTGTAATATAAAGTGTTTCCCGATCGTCGCTCTGCTCTAATAAAACCCGACGGAGTGTCACAATCGGCCTTTGCGTCCTCGGTGAACTTAGCTACTTCTTCTGGACTTCTGCTACTCAAAGGCAGCGTTCCAGTTCCTGAGCCACGTGAAGCCGTGAGCGCAGTTCCACAAACTTTGCAAATGACATTACACAATATTTAATTAATGGGGTATTGACCAGCTTTACACAGGTCGTCTCAAATCCTCTACCAATTAAGCGTCCCTCCGCCCGGGAGAGGCTCTGCTCCAAACACATTCTCAGCTGCACTGGGCGAATTATCTGAAAACCGATCGCTGCCTTCAGCTTTTCTTAAATAGCCCGGACTGTTGCTGTATCCCCAACGTCAGGGAAACTTACAAAGAGAAAGAGAAGGAGATGTGGTTCGCATTTTGGTCAAAATCACTGTCACAATTTTTGCTGTTTGCCTTTATAAAAAGAGGACCCGTGCTGGTTCGGGTTAGGGTTAGGGTTAGGGTTAGGGCTCCTCCAGGCCCACAGAAAAATGTCCGGGCCGAAATCTGTGAAGGTGGATTTGCCAAACACATTTGACGATGACAAAGTCGCACAACTATTTCAGGCAGCTACCATTAATCGTTAATATTTTTCACGATTTGTGCTGAATCATAAACTTCCT